TATAAAAGCGTTGTATATTAAAAAGTTTTTTTTTATATTATTTATTTAATTATGAAATGAAGAATTCAGAATTCTGCGGCATAAACTTAGTAACACTCACAATTCGTAGTAGCGACTGTGACTGTTGCTCCTATTGTGGATGGCGCAATCCTACTACAAAAACATTGTGACTGTTCTTTTGTCACAGTCTGTTACGGTGACTTTTTGGAAGTTGTCACAGCAAATATCTGCCACCAATAAATTTTACCACATATTTTACCCCATTATATATATATATATATATATAGATATATATATATAATAAAAGAGAGAGTGCAAACTAAATTTCATCAAAATCGGATGAAACTTAATGTTTCCGCCCACAAGAGTGGATGGCGTGGCAATTATCAAAGCATACTATGTATTTCATAATTACCTATTCCTTAGAAAGACAAGTTTCAGCGAAATTGGTGTACGTCAATTATCACTTCCACCTGGCTTCATATAGTCGATTCACGGTACACCGTCAGCAAAAACAAAAAATTTCAAAAGTCAACGGTAATTTGTAAACTGCTAAACGTAAATTTTCGTAGTAATGTACAGTTTTTTACGAACCCTTGGAAAGCACCTAACTGTGTAGTTTGCCACAAGTTAAAATAAAGCAGTTTCTCAACGCAGCTACGATGATTTTAAATTTCCTAAAGATTTTCGTACGATAACAAGTGACCTCATTTTTTAAACTTACTCAAATTTAGGCACCGGCGCATATCCTTTGTGCAGTCCATGTCGCGCGAGCTCACCCCGCTTGTAATGTTCAATCAATTCGTTTGCCTCCAGTGTATCATCGTATTGGGATAGATCGTGACTGAGCGACAGGCGTTGGGATGCATACGAAGTCGTTGGTGTATTTGACGATCTCTGGATTTCATACTCAGATGAATTAAGTTCTTGTCGATTTTGATATTCTAAATGTTTTTGCTGCTGCTGCTGATTTTTACTGCTTTGTAGCTGATTTAACGCTACTGCCGCATTCCCAGTTTCTTCTTCGCGGTGGGAATCTAGCATGTCGAGTTGTCTCACAATTGATGCTGCTTCAAGCAAAGCTGGATTGATAGTGGGCGGTTCCATCACAGACCCATCTAAGTCTGTTCTGCGGTGCTGCAGCTGATGGTAACTATAAGTCGATGGAGCTGCTGTGGTTGGATAGTTTAATGAATTCTGTATCTGATTGCCTTGATACAATATTGTAGCGGCTGAGTGATGCAATTGTTGTTGTATGTGCTGCTTGCTTAGGTCTGTCGGCAATTCTTCAATTATGAAAGTAACGGACTGCTGTGCATTGTATTCATTTGAATTTACAGCGGATAAGGAAAGTGATAATTGACGATTATTGCTGGCGCTAACCACCCCACTGTCTCGACTATGGTGATCTATTTCTAAAGCATGCGCAATCGGCGGCGATGTGGGCAAAGATTCTGGTGAACCTGTAGAGAGACGTGACGCAGATGCAATCGATGAGCCGGACGACAGTGTAGACTGAGGGGAGCTGGGTGATGCTGGATTGGGTAAAATGGAAGAGGTTGTTCTAAGAGACGGTGCTCCAATACGCTGCTCTTTTATTATTCGTCTTTTGGCGATAGCGGCTGTGGAGGTGGCTGGTGACATAGGTGAACCAGGCGCTGATATAGCTTCACCACACGAGCTGCTCGATGTAGAATTACCGATATGCCCGTTCTTGCTAGTCGGTGCTGATCCAGCTACAGCTCCAGCATCGTCATCATCATCTGGAAATTCTTTGGCATGACCTTTGATATGCGCCTCCATCTCCTTTTTGCTCTTAAACGTCTCATCGCAAATCGTGCATTTGTAGCATTTGGATCCGTAATGCTGCACACGATGTAGCTTTAAAACATGGTTGTAACCGAAATCACGGAAGCAAATATCGCAATGGTAAGGCTTTTCGCCCGTGTGAGTACGCGAATGTACTTTGAGCTGTTTGGAGCAGGTGAATCCCTTGCCACAGCCCTCAACCGGGCATTTATAAGGTTTTTCTCCGGTATGTGTTCGCATATGAATGACCAGCTGTCCGGATTGAATAAAGGTCTTCTCGCAGACGGAGCACTTGTGTGGTCGCTCGCCGGTGTGGATACGCATGTGCCGATGCAACTTGCCCGAGTGCTCGAATGCTCGTTCGCAAACGTCACATTTGTACGGTCGTTCTTTGGTGTGTATGCGGCGATGCACCTGAAGGTTTTCCTTTACGCTGAAAAGCTTGTGACAAAATTCACATTCAAAAGGCCTTTCGCCAGTGTGGGTTCGATAATGTCGAATCTATAGCGAGATAGGAACACGTATATACATAAGTCTAATAATAATATGAAAACATACATATGTGTTTGTGGACATTGATTTTAGGAGTTTTGATTTTAGAGATAAAAACTATCAACTAAAGTAAAATAAGCTATTAATTATAATAGCATCTTAAACTACAGCCGTGGTCAATTTAAGATTTGTGTGTTAGATAGGAACGCAACGAGTTACTGCTTAAGATATCTGTGGACATTTGAAATAACAACTTACGTCTTTCACGGACAAACACAGTAGCATATGTCGGTAAAGCTCTGTTTATCGTCAGATATTATACGTAATACTCCTATATTGGCAGTAAGAGCTAGTACCGTCCGAAAACATTACAGTACAGATATATCAATGAACACGTGCGAAGGAAAAGGAACACATACGCTTATAAATAAACATGTACACAACACATACACAAAAACGGCACTCACGTACACAATACATTCACAAAAACGGTACTAGACTGTCTCGCTTTGATTTCAGAATGCTTCGATATTGAGAAGTTACCTTACTGCCAATATAGAAGTATTACATATATGCGTCAGATCGATAAATTTTACCTTAAAAAAAAAATGCAGTTGCTGAAAACAGAAACATTTAAGGGCGTTGCACAGTGGGAAATAAACGGAATTAATTCAAACTGTAGAAGATTTTCAAGGTAACTTACTAAATAAAAGTCGACTTGGATTAATTTTGCAAGCCATAAAATTTATATGAATATAAATGTTTTGAACCATTAATTCAAGTGATTAAGTGATTTGAACATTAGTATTAAGTGGCACTTGGAATATTCGAGAGAAAGATTTTGCGTTAGATTTACGGGCCTTTACGCGTTGGTGACGGCGAGTACCGCAGATGATGGAGTTATGAGCTGTATGAGCTTTACAACGACATAAAGATAGCGCAGCGAATTAAAATACAGTGGCTCCGCTGCCTTCGCCATGTTGTTCGAATGAATTCCGACGCTCCGGCTCTGAAAGTATTCAACTCGGAACCCGTTGGTGGTAGCGAAGGTAGGAAGAGGCATGCCCCCACTGCATTTCCAATTGACGAGTTGACGCAGAAGAGAAACGACTGACGTGCTTTGTTGAACTCGGCAAAAATCGCTTAGGTAGTTGCCACGCGAAATAAGAAGAAGAAGAATTTGTCTTTGATCCCTAGTGTCGCCGAATGACTTCACTTGACGATTTTTAGAACTAACTCGACTCCAGCGCCACTTTGCGGCTCTTTTTTTGCAATAGTATTGCTCCTACCCTTACCAATATCTATATATCTCGAATATTAGCAAAATCGGATCATGCATAAGATTTTTAGAATTAACTCAACTGCAGAGCCACCTGGTGTTTTAAGTTGTGAACTTAAACTATTCAGGGACCCACACAAACACATAAAAAATTGCATTAAAATCGTTTCGGTCGTTTAGGAGGAGTTCACTCGTTTAGGAGGAGTTCACTCGCAAACACACGTACGAAGAATCATATGGACAAATCTAAAAAACAGGTACACTTTCAAAATAAAAAGTTAAATTTTTTGATTTGTTGGCACACCTATGTTTTATATATTCTTCTATTCGTAATCTCTTAATAAATCGACAAATACATATACGTGTAATTTATTTTTATCAAGTGCTTCAAAAGTTAGACGAGGAATAAACATTTAGATCGCTGAAATAGAAAAAAATAATAATAATTTGTGTTCAAATTACGCTGTGCAAGTTGTAACTTTTGAGCAAAGATTTTGAAAGTTGAACTCACTTAATTGGGATGTTCCAAATTCAATGGTATCCCCCGTTTATCAGATTAACTATTTTATAAATAACTCCCTCAGTTTTGAAGTTATTTTACTAAAATTTTGCATATAACTGTTTTTAATATTACCTTAATTATCCCTTAAAATTACCTAAATAGGTTCACATTAACATATAGCTCCAATACAACTGATTACTCAGATATGTGTTTTTGCGCTATAACTCTAACTTCATATCTGAATAATAAATTGTATGCGTGCTATATGTTAAATTGAACCTATACTAAATTTTTACCTGCTTAATTGGAGCAGTTATAAGTTATAATGCAAAACAACGTCTTTGATCAATCAGTTGTGTGGGAGTTAGATGTTATAGTGAACCGATTTCGATGATTTTACGGAATAGTTAAGGTAATATCAAAAAACGGTTATTTGCAAAATTTTAGTTAAATATCTTCAAAACTGAGGGAGTTTTTTTATAAAATAGTTAAAATTTAAACAAAATTTCAAGTACCGCTATCTGGAAAAGTGGAGCTAATCGGGCAAAACTGAGGACGCCGTTGAATTTAGAAATCTTGAATTAAGGAAGAGCAAGTATCAAAATCTTTGTCGAAAAAAAGTTGCTTTGATACCACGATATTCTGACTAAAAGATGGACCATTATAAAAAGTAGTAAACCAGGGTTTTTACACACTTCTAGAGAAAATTTTTTGAAGTATTTTACAGGTATATGTAACGTTATCAAGACTAGTAAATAGTTATAAAAAGATTTAGATCCTTTCGACGTATTTTCCAAATGTGCCTTCAATTAAGATGTTTTCGGAATAAAAGTTACGCTCAAGATCGCATAATTTCTTATCTTTAAAAGTTGGTTTATTCTGAAAGCACACCTCTTGCTATGGTATGGTATGGTATATAATACGCGAAGGCATTTTTTGTTCAGTATAAAAGATCTGCACCGTTCGCTCGATTTTCAAAAATGGGGTGTCAAATTAAAGTGCTGCAGATGTGCAAACTGGTTTTATTTTTTCGAAATGAGTTGCCACCTGTTGAACAATTAAAATCAAATTTTTCAATAAACAGTACCATCACATCCGTACCGTTTGTTCGATTTTCAAAAGTGAGGTGTCAAATTAAAGGGCTCGGGCTGTAGATGTGCAATAAGGATTTATTTTTTTGAAAAGGGTTTCCACCTTTTAAAAACTTGTCTATATTCAAATTATTTAAAAAAATTTATCAATTATTCAAAATGGGTATTAATCGCAATGGTTTTGAAAAGCTTTGTTTTTTAACTTAACTATAGGAGGGTTTCCACCTGTTTAAAAAATAAAATTCAATTTGAATTATGGGAAATTTGGGTATCAATCTTTATTTCTGGACTATATTTAGAGGAGTTGCCACATGTTTAAAAAATCACTTAATTTATCACTTGATTAAAATATATATTGCAATGTTAGAGAAAGGAGCCTTAACAAGAGTTTAGCTTGAAAATACTTTTAAAGAGGGCTGCCATCTGTTTGAAAGGTTTGATTTAATTAACTAATGCAAAATTTTCTGAATTATATGAATACGAGAGTCAAACGAAAGAGTGTTAAGAAATATTTAGTCTGAACATTTGGAGCGTTTGAAGAGGGCTGCCATGTGTTTAAAAAGTTACATTCAAATAATCCAATAGTTCGACGAATTATTAAAGGATGGGTATCAATCGAAATGGGTTTGAAAACTCTTTATTTCTGACCTTTATTTAGGAGGGTTGCAACGTGTTTGAACAATCAAATTCAAATTAGTTCATGTGCTATTGAAACACACGTGTATAACAATGTCAGGCGAAAGAGATTTAAGACGATTTTAGTTTGAAATAACTTTTGAAAAGTCGAATTTAGTTAACGTATACACAAGTTTTATCAAATATTTAGAAACAAATTTATGAAAGCTTTAGTTTGAAAATATCTTTAATTAGGCTGGCCACCTTTTCGAAAAAAATATATCGATCTAAAAGTATAGGTATATGTCTATGTATTATACGAGAAGGTATTTTGTGTGATAGTCATTCGATTTTCAGCGTTCTTTTGAATTTCAAAAATGAGAGGTCAAATTAAAGACCTTAACCTGTAAATGTGCGATAAACTTTTATTTTTTTACTTAAGATCTTTTTTATCGGTAAAGGGTGATTTGAAATTTGATGAAATTAAAAACCTGCACGACCGAGACCTCTCTTCACTAAAAAACGGCTACACGGATTTAGATGAAATATGGCACTTTGATCGCTTATAACTGTGACTAATATTTGGAATATTTGTTAGGTTTTTGAAATTCAATTTTGGGAATTTTAACGCCGTGCGGCTTCACTAGTTATTAGTTGTAGAATACAATACATACTTAAAAAGTTTTTAAAATGGAGTGCTTCAAAAACTATACGCGACCCAAAATTTTGAAAATTGTGTAAAGTAGAGTTACAGACTTTTCGTTACTTGCCATTTAGTTAGTTTTTAAAGCACACTTTAGTTACCAACTACATATAAAGTATACACAAAAGAGTACTAATTGCATATCAAATGTCAAAGCAGTATATAGTGTGCTTCAAAAGTTGTGACATAATTAATTGTGCCCCTCATAAAAATTACAAAAAAATCACTTGTTGTCATTATTTTTTTTTTTAATTTTAACACTTATAATTCAAAAGTTATGCAGCAAATTGATAAAAATTTTTTTTGAGGCTTCAAGTATACGTCTATGAATGTGCCCAAAAGCAACCATCTTGATATAGTTTACAACATTAAAAATAATGCTAAATAACACAAAGGTTACCTGTTTTTTAGATTTGCCCATATATATATTTACAAATACGTAAAAGTTTCAGTATGCTTGGAACGCGCCACGCCTCCTTTCCCAATAACCTTAATTTTTCTCCATGAGTATGGGATTTATTTCAAATATTTCCATGCCAAGTTCCAGGACTACCACAAATACTTCCAAGATACATATGTGGTATGAAAAATTCGATTTGTATGGGAGATGCCACCTCCCGTGCTACACGCAAAAAGTGATGGGAATGAGACCAATTGCATTCATTAAAAGAGGTCAAAATATGAGTAAATACCAAAGCATTTGTAAAATTTGATTCCCATTTCCTTTTTCTATCGATTTGAAGTTGTGAATTTAAGGTTTAAATATAAAAAAGTAAAATGATTTTTTTTTTTGGTTTCGCTCACAAATTTCATACCTAC